TCTTCATTTTGTGTTTGTTGAAGTATTGTCAACCATCATATCCATACCAGCAAAAATAATTGTCAGAAACTTTTAATATTGAGTGACAACAAACAATTTTTTTTCAAACAATGTATTGAGATTCAATAAAGTATGGAAGTCCAGAATTCACAAGTAAAACAAAAATGTCAATTTTGTTAACATCAATAATAAGTGAGTGATTCTAAGAGGAAATACTGTTAAAAAGACATCAATTAGTTTGATAATGAGTTATCTCAGAATCAGGAAGATAAATGTCTGATTCTTTATTTACATATTCCTTCATTGAGTGCCATGTATGATGGATGCTTAGGTGATTACTTTCTAAGTTAGACTGGTTGCCAATCAAGGCTATAAGACACTGTTCTCCTATTTATATATTAGCTGGGTAGAGAAGAGATGAATTCAAACCTTTCCCAAATTAATAATTGCTGACAATGCTTCATCTCAGAAATAAAATATTATCTTTAAAGTCAATAGAAGAAGGTATGTTCATCTATTGCTCGGTTCACACTCTTCACCAAGTCTTTTGAACTGGAGCGGAGATTTATCATTATTTCCTCTTCAGGATTGGTTTTGTTTATTTTTTTTTATGTCATATCAACCTTAATGGGTTACTTAATGTTGACGAATTTTTAGGATAGCATTTAGTATGGGGTTTCTTTTTCCTTTAAGGTCTTCTTATTCTCTTTCATTCCCAGTAACCCCTTGTGTCTTAGTGGCATTATCACCTTGTTTGGGGCAAAATAATTAAATGAAGCCTACAGCCATAATAAAAGGCTTATTCTTGAATTTCTCTAAAATGAGTAATTGCAATAAAAAGCAAGTGAAATAAAGATGAAATACTAATCAATAATTCATAATGGTTGACAATTATTCACCTAATAATAAAATTTCAGATAACATCAAGTGCATTCTTTTTTGTTTAATCAAATATTGACATTTCATAAATATTTTTTTAGGGACGCTCTCAGATTTTTAATAAAAAGATAGCATACAAAGATATAAAAAGATGGTTGCTCATCAGTTCTCTGGATATTCATCATGAAAACTGACAGGTTTTTTACTCTTCAAACAGTTGCTAGATTTACATGACTTGTTATTTTTATTTATTTATCTTTTTAATCATTTTAACCAATCAAGGCAATAAATTCACTAAGATGCAAGTGGTTACTGAAGGTTAGAGAATATGAGAAAAATCTACTATTAAAGAGAGAGGACAAAAAAAAAGAACAAGAATTAAAAAAATTAGAATATAATGACAGACATAGCATTTAAATTTTTGAAGATCAAACTTGACTGGAAAGCAAGAAGCCAGAAGAACGTTCCACAAGTGAGAAGTGTGATGGAAGAAACTGTTAGTATAGAACTTAAGGTTCCATCTAGCTGTTTAAAATGTAAAATGATGAGACCTTGCCACTAATTTAGAACTGTACTTAAATTCAATGGTAATAACAAAAAAACAAAACTTATTAAGAGCTATTAGACTATTATTTTTTAGTTGCAGTGTATTTGGTTTAGGCTTTTTGAAACTGTCCTTGAGGTCAGCTGATAGACAAAATAGGGATCTCAATTTTGATTGGCTGAGCTGAATGTTGGAATGTTAGAGTTAGAAAGTGTTTTCAATGAGTAAGTTTTTACACATCGAAGAGATCAGACGTGGTTATTTCATATTTTGGGGAACTTGCTTCCCAGTGGGGCTGATAGAGCGGCCTCACTGGTTAGTTAAAAATGTACACATTGACATGTTAATAAAATAGGTAAGTTTTCAAATTTGTTGACGTCTCATTTTACTTCCAAACAAATCAGCTAGCAATCACTCGGCCGGAAGATGACAAAAAGAAGAAAGCAACATATGAGTGAATCAAGACCGTCGCCCCAAGCAAGAAACGGGTACAGAATACATAACGGTATCATGACAAAGAGCTCATGTGAACAATTACCATGAAAATATTTATAGAAAAGGCAGAGGGGAGCTGTTTTATGGCAGTGGGAAAGTGACTCATCTGGGATGCCAGATCAGGACCAATAACATTGCAGATTCTTCTTTAGATTTTATCAAGAATTTCTAAATATATAGTTGGAATGGTAGACTTATAAATATGTAAAATAGATTCTGGTAAGAAAAAATTGTCTTTATAACTGGTCTTATTCTATTATAGTGGCTTAGTAGGGAAGAGGTGACCCCAGCATAATGGGTGGGGGGAGAGTGGTGATCCAATTACTCTACATCGTCTAGCAGACAAATGCATCAAATTGGCTGGATTTATCTCAAAGCTTTAATTAAGATTATGAGTTAACACTAAAGATAATTAATGAAAATAACCAGATAATGAAACTATAATTAGGAAATCATTAATTTATTAGTTTTCTCATTAATCAGAATATATTAATGAAGTACTGTCTTTTAATAAAAACAATGTCTGCTTCTTTTATGTGCCGTGTCGCTTCGGGATGTAGGTGATCATGGCCCTTCACATCTTCCTATCCCTGGTAGCTCTTAATAAGTTTTGTTTTTTTTTATTATTTCTTCCCAACCCTGCTCTATCATCCATTTACTCAAGCTCATTCTTCTACCTTTTTCTACGTGGCATATCCTTTCAGGATGTTAGTGATCATGGTCCTCCACATCTTCCTATCCCTGGTAGTTCTTAATAAGTTTTGTTTTTTGTTATTTCTCCCAAGCCCTGTTCTACCATCCATTTACTCAAGCTCATCAAGTATTTTAAGTGCTGATTTCTCCTCAATCCATCCTGTGAGTATCAGATTTTCCAAGCCCTCTTTCCTCATTATGTGCCCCAGAAACTTTAACTGCCTCTTCCTTATGTTAAGTATAAGTTTCCTTTTATTTTCCACTTTCTCCAAAACCTTGTTGTTGCTCACATGTCTGGTCCATGGTATCCTAAGCATCTTTCAGTAGAAACAAAATTTCTGTTGCTTCAAGTCTCTTCTTCTCTTTGAAGATATTGTCCAGCATTCACTGCCATATAGGAGGACAAATATCAAGTAACAGTACAATACTTGTATGCTGAAATTCTCTGTAATATCTCATCTTTAATATAGCAGTGAACGCTGTGCAATTTTCTCATACATAAGAGATGTAAAGTAAGGATGATGTGGTTCTACAAAGCAAAATGTGCTGAACTGCTATGTAATATCTAATCTCCTATATGGCAAAGAATGCAGGATAATCCCCTCATGGCTTTCATTTTTTTTATTCAAACAAGCTAGCTTGGACATTCATGAGTCTATAATACCATTCATCCTAGTGTTCCACATCAAGGCCAGAAGGTTCATTATGGTGGCATCCTGTGTCTCTACATAGTTGGTCAATGTAGGTGGTTACTGAGCAATCAACCAAGAACAGTAGGTCCTTTGCAAGTTTGCCAGCAGTATCTGCAAAGCATGTTCTACCTTCATGTAATATTGTAGAAATATCAGAGATGGGTCCATAGAGCTGTGATTTAATTGGATGTTATCTCAAAGAGATTGTAAGTATAGCTCTCAGCATCCGAGTGTAGGTTCCATCAATCTTAGACTCCAGGGTTAAAGATTGTAGAAATATCAGAGATTGGTCCATAGATCTGTGATTTAATTGGATGTTGTCTCAAAGAGTGTAGGTTCCATCATGCTTAGACTCTAGGGTTTCAGTTAATCTTCAGACAGGGACACTATACATTAAAACTGCCTCTACAGTGGCTCAAAAGTATCTTCATTGTCTGGTAAATCAGATTTTCAGATTCCATTCATTTTATTCAAGGCAGTCCAGGCTTTGGCTATGCAAATTCTGACATCCTTTTCAGTAGAATTTCTAGGTTTGTAAAAGATTTGACAGATTTTATTGATCCACTTTTAACAGTTTTTATCTTGACTCAACTAAGCAAAGTATTAAGAGATATGAAAATATCTTTAGAAACAGAGAAAAGAGTGCTGAACTGCTATGTACAAGAGTAGGCTGAAAAGTGCATAGGCTGACTATGAAGGAGTGATGCTAGAACTATGAAATCTTACATGTATTAATTTCATCTCTTCTTATTGATAACTGTATTGTTTGAGAAAGTTGAGAATATTCTACACAAGTAACTCGGCATTATAAAGGTTTCTGCTTGGTTGGTGTCATATCTTCTGATGCCAGATCAAAAGTACAACAGTCTGGATACATCACAGAAAAATCTGACATTGTTTGCGGCAGATCCAGCTGTTTTCCTTGAAAGTTTCTTAACCCAGGATATGAGTTGGGTTCATCACTGAGCCAGAGACAAAGAGAAATTCCATTCAATGGAAACACCCCCTCCTCACCTGCTCCAATGGAGGACAAGCTCGTTTCCTCAGCAGGGAATGTGATAGCCTCAGTATTTTGGGATGTAAAGGGCACTGTGTTTATTGACTATCTTCAAAAGGAACATAACATTTACGGCTGGAATTCATCTTCATGCAGAAATAGGGTTTACTGCCCAAGAACACTCCTGCTGACATTGTTGCTATATTAGGGAATGACGTTCTAGCTTTATGAACAGTGCAAAAGTGGGCAGCTGAAATTAGGAGGGGAACAGACAGTCTTGGAGATGACCCAAGGTCTAGACGCCCTGTAGCTGCCACCACTGAGGAAAACATTGATCATGTTCACCACACGGTGATGGATGACAGACAATTGATGGTAAATGAAATAACCAATTCTATTAGCATATCCTGCAAGAGAGAGTTGAGACTATTCTTCAGAATGAACATGGCATGATGATCGCTTCGTTAGTGCCACATCTTCTGGCACCTGATCAAAAGCACACCAGGCTGATAGCATCGCAGGAAAGTCTGACATTGTTTGTGGCAGATCCAGCTGGTTTCTTTGAAAGTTTCTGTTGTGGGGCTCTCCCCTTTTTACATAAGATGGACTCATCCAAAGTAGACTTATACTGACAGAGAGAATACCTGCGGTTGAGATACGTGGAGAGATACGGAGACAGACAAAGGATGTTCTCAGAGAGTTATACAAGAGGGAGAGAGGGAGGGAGAGAGAGAGAGGGGGGAGAGAGAGAGGGGGAGAGAGGGGGAGGGGGAGAAGGAGAGGGGGGGGAGGAGGGGGAGGAGAGAGGGAGGAGGGAGAGGGGGGGGAGGGGGAGAGAGGGGAGGGAGGAGAGAGAGGGGAGGAGAATTACGGCTTTACTTACTTGTACATATACTTCCTACTAACCCGCATTCCTGGACTACTAATCTTCACTTCAAGTCTGTATTCTTATGTTTAATACACTTATTTTTCTATTTTAATTACATGTGTTGTTTATTTATTTGTGCAGGATTCCATTCACGGAATCCACAACAGTTTCTTGGTGGCCTCAGTTTTTTGGAAGACAAAAGGCATTATGTTTATTGACTGTCTATCAATGAAGAGTACTATGCCAACTTGCTGAAGTGACATCATATAAAAATATATCTACAAAGAATTTATATAAATTCTATGCTGTATGACAAATGTTTGAAAATATTAAACTGACTGCAAGAAAGAAATGGGTTCTTTTTGTTTAAAATTGGAAATTATGATTCTTCCTTTTAATGTTGTGGTACTTAATTGCCTTATTGAGATTACCATTCATTAAAAAAAATAACACTTTTCAATTGCATTGTCCATCAGCACCTGCTTGCATTGGGATTATCATCCTCTCTCCCTGTTCTCTTTCTCCTCTCCGTTGGTGGTGGCGGAAATGTCTGTGAAGGCCCTGTCTACCCTTGAAGAGTTGTGAGCAGGAGTCACAGAGGAGTGTAGTGGACACAGCAGGACAGATCAGGTCCTCGTAACAGCACATTGCAGATCCTCTTCATGTTGACAGTTAGACTCGATAATCTCAGCCCTGCCCTTCACCCTGCGATGGTCCTATGCCAGGAAAGATGAAACTTGCAGCAATGGTTTCCTAGGTCTCATGGATGTCCTCAACTAATTACTGAAGTGTTGTATTAGGCAACTGTGAAGTCTCTTGGTGCTGATGAGTTCTCCAAACAGGATGATATGTGGGAATCAAGTGGGACATGTCACCTACCCAGTGGAGGCAATGTTAAAGGATGGTAGCTTGGATACTGGGGAGAGAGTCCAAGAGGGGACCTCATTGTCAGTGATGGGGGTCTTCCCAGCAGATGTTAAAAATTCTTCAGAGTTTCATTTGCTGGGACTGCATTGCTAATTTAAACATGAAATCCCAAAAGATGCATTTGCTGTCTCAGATAAAACCAGCTGATACATTATAACAGTGTTAATCAGTAGCAGCCAAAATTTCCATGACACATAACGAAGAAAGAAGGTGTGGAGAATTTAAGGCAAGAGAAGCAGAAGAAAACATTGAGCGAACCTACTTAACAAATTTGAGTGAATGGATGGCAGAAAAAAAAGGAAAAATGGCACGGTAAAAGGATAAAAGTGGGACGGTAAAAGGATAAAAATGAGACGGTAAAAGGATAAAAGTGGGACGGTAAAAGGATAAAAGTTACAAAAGAGGAAGTTGTGGATAGCCATGATCTTCTTAGTCGTAAATGGACATTGGATATAAAAATAGGTCTACAAAGAATTGATGTTAATTCTGTGTTGTATGACAAATGTCTGAAAGTACAAAACTGGTCAAAAGAAAAAAAAATGCCATATTTTTTTTTTAAAATCAAAAGTTATTATCCTTTCTTTTAATGCTGTGACATTTAATTGATTTATCCTGAAGAGTTCAATAAAGAAAACAAAACATTTCAGTTGTATTGGTAAATTGAATCATAAAAGTTGCATTTGCTGCTTCAGATAAATCAGCAAATATATCATATCAGTGTTAATTAGTAATATTTTTAAAATTTGATGCAAATGTTATAAGCTAAAAGTCCTATGAATCAAACCTGAATGTGATGTATTGTTTTTATCATTACATGATTTTATTCTTCTGACCAGAATGCTCTGTTGTGGTCCTTACTGCTGGATTCTTCAAGAGACAGAGAGCCTATTTGTTTAATGTGTTGGTTAAAAAATATAAGGTAAAAGCTTAGTTCCCTAGTGATTTTGAGTTCAATCCCTGAGTCTGGTACTGCTGAACAGTCACATGCTCAGGTGCAAAGATGAATACCTATGGAAGGTGGGATGAAGATAATCTACTGCCTTTGATTGAATAAAGTGTTTTTTTTGTTAAAAATTCCCAGCAAGTTTCTGAGTATAACAACAGACAACAGAAGAAAATGAGAAGATACAACGACCAACACAAATGGAAGTATAATGGTTAAGGATATAGTTATGATAATTTCTCACTTACATTTTTTTAGAAATGTTTAGTATCTTTTTTAAGATGCACTTTGTGGCGTTGGCGTGGAATGAGAAATCTGAGAGCTGAGTTTGAATTCCAGTTGAGTTTGTTAGCTTCATTTATACACAAACATCCTTCGGAAAGGTATGAACCCATCTCTTCTCCCCCTCAACTATTGGCTGAATAGCAGGACAGATTGTGTTCTATGGCCATGGTTGCTAACCAGTCTATTGAAGAATGAAATGTCAAACTACTGTGGGAAAATCTTCTGCCTAGTCAGTCATGAATCAAAAGAGACATGATCACCCAACCATCACGTATGGCACTTAACTATCATTTCTTAAGTTTTTATGGGTTCAGGCATACGTGTAAAGTTTTCTAGAGACTTTGTTTGTGTTTGCCAGCCTCTTTGCCCAGTTTACTATTAGAATATATTATTAAAAAAATTATATAAAAAGGCAAATATAAAAAAAAAAATGGTTTGTAAAAATAACTTGAATAAAATTTGATACAGTAAACACTTGGGTTCATGAGGCTCAAGTCTGACAGTTTATAGAAAAAGATGGAGGAGTAAAACTTGACTTCTAAAAAATTATAAAATTGAGGCTCAGGTCTAATGGCCTGAAAACCTGCCAAAATAAAGTTTATAAAACGGTTTAGAGATATTATTTTATTGGAATTTTTAACCAATGGGAATAGAAAGAATTTGATTTTGATTCAATTTGAGGCTCCCCACTTCCATGTTATGGCTAAAGAAAGAATCTGGTTGGTCTATGGATGAGAAGGGTTTAAACAAAGCTGAACTAAAGAAGGTTTTTAACTTTGACAGGTGAAAGGCATTGTTCAGCTCCCCAAAGTTACCAAAGCAGAACTAAAAGGAACAGAGAGGTCTTGATTTTTACAGATGATAAACCTATGAGCTAGCCAAAGAAGAAGAAGAAGAAGAAGAAGAAGAAGAAGAAACAGAAAGAAGAAGAAGGAGAAGTGTTATAACCGAGAAAGGGTTACTGAATGAGGAATAACCAAAACCAAGGTTGGAAATGAAATGATAATCTTTATAACATCAACAAAATACAATACTCGTCAGCGCCGTGAAGTAGGTAAACCACTGCTAGTGGTGGACTACTTAGACAGCATATTACCCCCACTTACAATAGTGTCCAATGTATTTATCAGGTTTGGGACATACCCATTAGTATTCATAGGTATGGCAGATAACAAGAAGAAAGGGAAAAAGAAAAAAGGGAAGAAGAAGAAAGGGAAAAAGAAGAATGAAAAGAATAAAAGAAAAAGAAGAACAGTAAGAAACAGAAAGAAGGAGAAGAATGGCAAAAAGAAGAAAGCGAAGAAGTAGAAAGAAAAAGAAGAAGGGGTAAAAGAAGAAGAGAAAGAAGCAAGAAGAAGATGAAAAGGAAAAAGAAGAAAAGTAAGAAGCAGAAAGAAGAAGAAGAAAAGAAAGAAGCAAGAAGAAGAAGGAAAGGAAGAAGCAGAAAGAAGAGGAAGAAAAGAAAGAAGCAAGAAGAAGAAGAAAAAGGATACTATAAATTTAGAGAGAGATACAAATTTCTTTCTGTAGTTATATAAATTTGTGAAAGTTTATCACAAAAGTTTGAGGTATTAAATCTGATTTTGAACTTAATCTGAAACTTAAACTGAGATTTGTCTCCTTTCTGAACCTTGGCTTGTAAAACCAAACTATTTTTTGAAAAGAAATAATATCAGAAATCCATCAATGTCTGTGAAAAAGTGTTCTTTCTCGACTCTTTTTAACAGCTGAATATATTGAAACAAGTGAATATTTTGCTGATACTAATAAATTTTTATGAGCCTAACAGAATTTCAATTAAAACTTGTTATCTTGTCTAAATGTTTGGCATACTAAGGAAGAGATTTTGCAATTTTGTTTTGTAAATTTTGTATTCTGCATTATTATTTTTTGTCATTTAAAAATGTAAATTTTTCCAAATGTTACAGCAGAGAAGAATTTGGCGTTTTCCTCCATTTGCATCGTTAAATACTTGTAAAAGAAAGGATAAGAGATTTAGTGTTGTCTGTTCTTGTCCTCATCTAATTTACAATTCCTTTTATTATGGTGCATCTCAAGTAGGCAATGGCTTGAACAAGGTTCAGCTTTGTCAAACCGATGGATGGGGGAATAGTGTGCAGGTTGGTGTAGGGTGACAGTTTCTTTCAGACTAAATTCAAGTTGGGTAACCTTTGCAGTACAAGACTTTTATTGATGTTGGGCCAACTCTGAATAGGCAACTCAAGCAGTATCATCTGCGAACACAACTTTTCTCACTTGTAATGTAATCTTTTTTTTATGCAATAAATCTCAGAATAGGTTTGTATGGTTTTTATATAACTTTTTATTTTCATGCCGTCTTTGTTTCACAAAAACAGAGGAAGGGTTAATCAAAATCCTTTTCCACCAGAATTATCTTTTGTTGAATATAAGTGCAATTGACTTTTCGTTTTCGCTGGTTGAAGCATATGACCTGGTTGATCCAGTGGGGTTAATAAATGATCTATTTGTAACGAGCTTGGATACCCATGACTGTAATTTATAAAAATCTCATCATTTACATAAATTCAGGATGCTAAAGCCAACCTCTGACCCCCAACCATGTCATGGTAAGCCTAAATTAAGCAAATGTCTGGTGCCTCGTTATCTCTTCTTCTGTTTCACTCAGGGGTTGGAGTAGGGTATGTTCTTTGTTCATATCAGGAATTATTTCTTGGCACAAGATCAAGACTTGAGTTTAGACTTATACAAAGGCGGGGTGATGAAAAGTTATCTGCCCAACCCAATTCCCAAAATCTAATGAAACAAACCAAACATCACAGGTTCTTTTGGATTGATTGATTGATTTGTTTTTTATGGCTTATCAACTTTTTGTCGGAAGATATTCTGAGATTATAAGAATGTTTTTGAGATAATAATGATTTACTGATACAAGTCCTGCTAATTAACCCATAGCTGTGGGAAGAAGAGGTGGATTCATACCTTTCACAAAGGTATTTGCATGTAAGTGAATATATAAAGTCCAACTTGAATTTGAACTCCGATTTTCAATTCCGAGTCATTATCCATTACACTACCCACACATGCAAGCTTACAGCACCTGTTATTCTCAAGCAATCACCCATTTAGGTAATAACCAGGTTCGACATTGCTTAACTACAATGATTGCATGGGAAGCAATGTTTCAACATGATATGGCTATAAGCCAAGTTCTTTTTGAATCTGATCAGGCCACACACTTTACCATGTACAGTGGGTAACCTAGAAACTATATATATCTATAAAGTATATATCTATAAAGCATGCATTTACCCAGAAAGTATAAAATTACGTACAAAAAATGTGTAGTTAAAGGCATAAAATTGTGTACAAAAAATTTAAATTTCAGCATTAAATAATCCATAAAGGTGTTGATATGCCATTAAACAAAATCAACTAAATGAAATCTTTTTCATTTGTGCAGAGATTGTCCAACATTCACTGCTATCTAGAGGACTGATAAGGCACCAAGGGGTAAAGGTCATCAGAACAAATATAATGAAAATATTTATAGAAAAGACACGTGGAAGCTATGTTACGGTGGTAGAAAAGTGACTGAAACCAAGATGCCAGGTGAAGACCGATAACATTACAGACCCTTCTTTAGATTTTGTTGAGGATCTCAAGTTATATAGCCAGGACACCAGACCAGATATGGCAGCAATATTCAATGTACGGACAAATGGTAGATTTATAAATATGCAATATGGATTCTGACAAGAAAAATTGTCTGGCATATTATAGTGAACCAAAATTCTTAGTAGCAGAAGCAATATAATCACTCCAATTCATGTCAGTTGAAAAATGCAAGAAGGCAGAATGATTTGCTCTTCTGGAGGTTAGCATCAGCCATGATGATGAAAGGCAAAAATGGTTCTTTACAATGATTAAATGAAATTATTTTTGCTTTGAAGGCATTAAAATTTACAAGCCATATTAGAAGAAAATGTAATACCATCTATGAGAAAATTCATCTAGCAGCAAGATCAGGATATTTTTAGGAGCCTGGGACCACCTCTTAATTGCTGTTCTTCCCATGTTTACCCTGACCAGGGGTGATAGCACTTGTTAGGGACCCAGCTATGGACAAATAGTTAACTCCCCCCACAAACTGAGGTCAAAACATTATGAAAATACAAAAATATATTTTTATAGTAAAAAATTACCAGCAATTACCACAGATTCAAAGAAAATTAAATTTCAGCATTAAATGACCCATGGAAGTTAAGCCATGAAAGAAACAAACTGTCAGAAAATTCAAAATGAAGTTGATATGGAACTGCGTCAATATGTTAATGATTCAAAACATTCCAGCAAATCCAACAAGGAATAACTTAAGTGAAAGAAGTGAAGAATTCTGAAATGGACAAGTTAAAGACTGGATCTTAATCCTGTTTAGATGCTGTGGAGTAATTTGAAATGGTCTGTGCATACAAGACAACCCTCATTACACAGCCAAAAGAATTTGGCATGAAGGAGGGGCATAAACTTAGTCCCAACTAAAGTCAGAGACTTGTAGACAGATACTGAAAATGTTGAATTGAGATCATTTCAATCAAAAGGTGTAATATCAGTTATTACAGCATAGAGGCTTCCAACTTTTTCCTCAACAGGAATTAGCATTTGTGTGTTCATGTTTTTGTTAAATAAATGATAACAAACTAATGTTTCATTGTTTTATTCTATTAAATCATATTACATGGAACCTTAAAGTGGTCTGTTTTTATTCAAACATATTTGCTCTGAATTTACATTGAGCCCTCTGGATATCATCCTCCTTGGGTCTACCCATACGGATTACCTTGTTTTGAATAAACTAAAAATATATATATATATATATATATATATATATATATATATATATATATATATATATAGAGAGAGAGAGAGAGAGAGAGAGAGAGAAAGAGAGAGAGAGAGACAGGTTTTATTGAATAATTTAGACAAGTTTTGTCTATTTATTTTCAAATGGATCCTTTCATGTTCACGGAAAAACTTTTTGGTGTCATTATTAAAGGAAGAGAGAAAATCACTTTGTTGATACATATTATTTTATTCAAAATAGCACAATGCCATCATCAGGGTGTTGTTTATTTATAGACAAATATTGTAGTATTTATCATTTTACTCAAAATAAACAACACCCTGATGATGACATTGTGCTATGCTGAAAATACTCGTAATAAAATAATATGTATCAACACAGCAATTTTCTCTCTTTCTTCAATAATGATACCAAAAAGCTTGTCCATGAATATGAAAGAACCCAATTGAAAATAACTATACATAATTTGTATAAATTATTCAATGAAACATGTCTCAATGAAAACATGCTGCCAAAATATATGCAATATCTATCTATCTATCTATCTATCTATCTATCTATATATATATATATATATATATATACGTAATAATTCATTGGTATATAATCCAAGTGAATCCTAATAACAAAATATACAATATTAAAACTGATTCACATAGGGAGCTCAATGTTTTATTCAAACAGAGCATATAAATTACAAATAAGAATTAAGATTACTCCATGGTTATGATCATTTCATCTTACAAATTAAGATTAACTTTTAAGGATTTTCAAAGGGATTACATTTATAAGAAAAATAAAATGAAATTGGCTTAAAACAAATTTTAAAATCCAGGCAGAAGCAAAGTAAATTTTTTTATCAAACTTTTTAGTACTAACACACGCCAAGGAATTTCTCTCTCTAGGAGCGAAATGGTCATATAAATGAAGTAAAATTGAGTTTCATTTTTATATAATTCATATATATCTATATATATATCTATATATCTATATATATATATATATATATATAATGTCCCTATCCCAGATGGGATGTGGTAAAACTCTCGCTGCTCTGTGACTATTTGCTCAGATGAACTACATTCTTTGGTTCCACCAGTTCTGCACTTCTTGAGAGCTACAGAAACATTACTGAAGTCTACGTCAAATGTAACTAAGATTGATGACAAAGGTGTGTCAACTCAGCAATTGTTGGTGGTGGGAATTCATTATCTATGCAAATGTCATTGTAATAAAGCATTGATAATTAACAAAATAAAATAATTAATAAGATTAATTCTCTCTTATTTTTTCAATTGCCATTTTCACCTGGAGCTAATTGAAGCAATAAATGTCATTAAATTAAATTTGCAAGAATTAACCAAATGATAATAAGGAAAATAGATTGAAGGCTATTTTGAATACAACTAATATATATATATATATATATATATATATATATATATATATATGGTATATATATATATATATATATATATATATATATATATATATATATATATATATATATATATATATATATATATATATATATATATATATATATATATATATATATGGTATATATATATATATATATAATATATATATATATATATATATGGTAATATATATATATATATATATATATATATATATATATATATATATATATATATATATATATATATATATATATATATGACATAATTTAGCTCTTGAAAATATATTTTAAATTGAGCGCTGTTGAATGACAAGCAAATTCTAAAAAAACAACAGCCACCTGCATTAATGCGAAGCGCTTCGGTAAAATGAATGGAGCACTTCAGTTTGCTGGGTGTTTGTTTACATTTGTAAAAACAATACGCTAGATTTGGCTGACTCTTTCTGATAGCTCAGTGGTAGAGACTCTGACTGACACCAAATTGTTTGGATTTCAATCTGGCATTCAGATGTCTAGTTACACTGAAGAGCTGTGATACACTAAAAACAGTACTGTCTGGGAATGACAAATATGGTAAAAAATATATATATATGATAAAATATGTATGTATATATATAATGATAAAGTATAGTTTTAAGATATGCTATCTTTATGGGTTAAAATGCTCAATATCAAAGATAGGCCATATGGAAAATATATATATATATATATATATATATATATATATATACATGCTTGGTGTTAACATCAGTTTCTACTCTTATATTTATAAGATCTCTCTCTGTTTCTATCCACCCTTGTATGTCTGACTGTCTGTCTCTCCTCTCTCTCTCTCTCTCTCTCTATATATATATATATATATGAAGAAATATACTCTTAAGGTGTGCTATATTTAGGGGATAAAGTGCTCAATATCAGAGATAGAGCGTGTGTAAATATAAAAGTGAACATTGATGTCTACACTTAGAGGCAACAGGCTGTTTCATGCTAGACGCCATCCTCAGGACATGAATGTTGTTTTTTTCTCGGCTATTTATATATACGGGTCAGTGGTGCATTGTTGGTAGTCTATTTCGGTAGTTATTTTGCCGGAAGTCGTTTATCTATTTATTTATTTATTTGGGTTAGATTATTTTGCTTGTTTTTATTTATTTTTATTTTTTATTTTTATTTTCATTTCTTATCTTATATATTTATTTATTTTTATTTTAATCGGTGTTTTATTAACATAGTAAAAATTTGTTTGTATTGCTTATTTAATAGTTTTGTTTTGGTTTGGGAGGATAATTAAAGCTATTTATTCAATTTTGGGTTGATTGCTGTAGTTTTTTCTAACTATCATTTTGGTGGGGGCAGTTTTTAATTTGTTTATTACTTCATTTATTTATTTGGATTGATTTTCTTTATTTGTTTTTGCTAACGATTAATTTGTCGGGATCGGTTTGTTAGTTTATTTATTTATTTGGATTAATCTATATTACTTGTTTTTTTATTATTTATTTATTATACTGTATATTTTTATTTACTCTTTTCCGCTTTTGATTTTTAAGTAACATAGTATTTTTTTTAATCGTTATATAACAGTTATAGCTATGTTTTTTGTCCAATTTTTGGTTTGATTTTTATATTTTAGTCATAATGGTTTGTTAGTTTGTTTATTATTTATTTTATTTATTAGATTTATTGATTTTGTTTATTATTTTTTATTTATTTATTCTATTTCATCTATTCTAACGGGTGTCATTTGGTAATTTGTTTGGGTTAATTTATCTTTATATGGATGTGGCTACAAATGGGAATAAACCAGAAGGTGCTGAGAATTTTATTTTTTTTATTTTAAAGATATGTTTTATGTATATATTCTGATTTCTTTTAGTTTCTTTTTCTTTTTTTTCATGTTTCCTTCATTTTTGTTCCACATCGTGATAATAGAAGATCTGTCAAGAAAGTTGAAACATTGCAGTTGCATTGGCCAATTTAAGAATATAAAATTGGAAGTAGTCTTTAGAAGGAACCAGAAACCCAATCAGGAAACAAGATCTGAACCTCTACTCTGGTTAAAAAAAACTGGGGAGAAGTGTGAACTGGATGATATGCTGTGAAAATTAAATGAAGGGTGCAAGTTAAAATATCCAGGTACATCAAGAAGTCTGTTGTCTAACAATAAAAAAGCATTCATTTTTTTCACACAAGAAAATAATTATTTATATAATCTGCTTTCTTGTCAATGAACTTAATTCAATACTCCACATTTAATCAAATAGGTCAAGCATTATATAGTTAGAGTTTTAGACAAAGATTTAGCTACTAATCATGTCAGCTTATGAACTTATTGATAAACGCTTGCACTTTGGATATGCTTATAAAAGCAAAGAGAAATGTATACAGGTAAATTCTAGTTGTATTAATCTACCCAGATCCAGAACTATCTGAATGCATGATATATATATATATATATATATATATATATATATATATATATATATATATATATATATATATATACCAGAAAAATACAGCAAGTGAAAGGTAGTGATAAAATAACTATTGTGGCCTGTTAGGGGCCAGAAAAGAAAGAAACAGAAAGAAGAAGGTAGGTTGAACATATATACAAAATAAGAGTATTATTAGTCAGCAGATAGAAGTGTTTGTCTGAACTGTCAGGTTACACTGCGTCCCGACTGCCCTCCTTAGGAAGTCTCGCAGGTTAGTATTTATGAAGGAGGAAGAGTTCATTCTAATATAGAATAGGTCACCACAACAATAACAAGGACATGAAAAGTAAATGAATGTCACTTTTATTATTTGTCTTAGAATTTTATTAATCGTTGGATTCTATTTAAGAACACTCAAAATTTGTAGCCCTGAATATTTATATGAAGAGGAGAAATACACTGAACATTCTTTTAATTTCCTCTATCTCATATTCAACACAAAACAAAAGACTTGTAAAATATTTCAAAATAGAAGAATGGAGCTTCCTGATAAGTGCAACAAATCAAAATATATTGTTCTACTGACCAACTTTATCATAGTTACAACTGAAAAGGATTTACGTAAGCTTAAGATAAAATTTATAACAACTACTTGTAAAACAATAAAAATTTAATTATTATAAAATGAAATAATAAAGTAAAACTTAAAGGAGGAATTTACTCCGTCACCTGTAATAATTGTCACAAGGAATACATGGGAGAAACCTCAAGGAGTTTAAATAAAAGATTATATGAACATAAAAGGGATCTTTTACAAAACAGCACGTTAAATACATTAGTTGCTTACCATAATGAGTCTGAAGAGAATTTTGATTTAAAATAAAGCTACTTTAATTAAAACAGAAAGCAATTTATGAAAATAGATAGTAAGTTTTTAATCCCTAGATCATCAACAGTAAATTTATATCCAAAGAAAAAGAAACTAAATCAAATAAACTATATATATATATATATCTTATTTCCTTTATCATAAAAATGGCTATTTAAGTATTTCAGCTGTTGGATATAAAATGGTGCCCTTTGATATTATTTAGAAACTCATATTACTATCTAATGAAGCTGATTTCCTCCCACATGGCGGAGACAAACTGAGATAGATAGATAGATAGATAGATAGATAGATAGATAGATAGATAGATAGATTGGGACCTTGATTGATTGATAGATAGATAAATAGATACATAGATAGACAGTGAGCTTGATAGATAGATAAATAGATAAATAGCTGGCTAGTGAGTAAATAGATATGAAGAGTCTTAGATAGATAGCTAAATAGATAAATAGATAGATATGAACAGACTTGGATAAAAAGACTGAAATAGATAGATATCAACATAGATAGATATGAACAGACAGATAAACAGATTGAAATAGATAGATAAATATCAACAGACATAGATAGATAGATAAATATTTTTTTCTATTTATACCAACATTATTCCAGATATTCAAAATCATTCCCCAAATTCTGACACAATTTCTAAATTTGAATTTAAAGTTTCAAAAATTTCTTCCTGACATTTTACTGAAGGTCGTCAGAATTCAAATTTCTCTTAAAAATATCAAAATTAAATTAAAAGGGTATTCTTGGAAAACAAATTTACTAAATAAATTCACTGTTTTCCAATCAAAGTATTTTCTCAGTAACTTTCATTCGTTCGTTCGGCATCAGTCTGTCTCGAGAGACGATGGAGAAGCGTGGTGCGTTATGAGCCTGGGTGGGATATATGGAGAACGAGAGCTGCCCGGACCTCTAGTTCCCCTCTCTCGGCCTTGCTAGCAGAGTCCAAAGGAGAGGATAAACCAATACAGTTTGGTACCAGCGCGGCTGCAGGAGTTGACGGAAGGTAGCACAAAGTGCCGTCCATCCGCCTTAGGGGCGCCACTCCGGATTTGTGTAGGGTTTACAACTTAGCCTTTCCTTCTCCCGAAGATTTCCACAAGGCAGTGAAGCTATTTAACCCATAGCTGGGGTTTGGTTCATGGGCACCAGGGTACGTCCACACACCGGTGGGCCTGCATGCCACATGTTAAGGGGGCCAAAAATAACTTTAGATCTACTAAAATAAGAATGTCTTTGGGTTAAATCTTTCCCATTTTCTCACAAATTGTCAGTTGCTAATAAATAAATAATATCAGTAACATCTTTTCGTAGTCATATTTGTTTTTTTTTATTAGTGTAAAGTATTTCTTTTTCTGGTGATTTTAGTCATTTTAATAAATTCTATGACAAATTCTGTTAATTGTCTTTTATGAAGATTCCCAAACAGAATGTTATAGCTGCTTGATAATGAAATTCATTATAAAAACTAGTTTGTTAGCATGAATAAATATTTGAATATTGAAATGAATTTTAGGTTGTTGACAATATCAGAAATAGGTTGTACTTGGGTTGTACTAAATTGCTTGATAGCAGAAGAGATCTTTTATTTTCGATATGTATTTTGAGACATGCAAATATTTGGAGCTTATGGCAAATGATGAATTTTTAAGGTGGATTGGAACTGGAAAGAAAAATCTTTCTACTTTCGTTTATTGTTTGAAGCATAAAGTCAGCTGACTGTCAGAAAAAGACAACTGAAAATTTCTGGCAGGAGGCATCAAACAAGAAACAGATTCATTGGAAAACTGCATCAATAAGAGAAAGTATTGACATCTTTAATTCATATTATGGCTAAGTGTTGTAGCATACATACAGATGATAATGGGTATGTCTCCATTCCCATTAATACAATAGTAAATACTGTATGTTGGTCTGCAGTTGGAGATTCATCTTCAGCTATGCTGGTTAAACTCTCTGCCTCTGAGAGGATCCCCAGACGAGGCTATGTTGAAGGACATAGTCTCGTTTTGGGATGCATCTGCCTGACCCTGTTCTATACTGGATCTATGGGGAATTTTGGCCAAGCCTACGGGCTCGGATACCCGACATTAAATTCGGCTTTGTGCTACATCTGACCACATAGGGCAGTTGGTATATATCCTGCAGTTGGAAATTCATTGTGGAATTCACTTGACTCACTTTTAGCAGTTGACTACTTCTTCTACACGCCACTGGCGAATCTTATATGCATTATTTGTACCTTCGTTTGATTATTCTATTCAGTAACCTTCCTTAGGTTAAAATACTAAGCAGTGATGAAACAAAAGTAGACAAATACGACCAATCATTCAAACCATAAGCTCATTGAAATAATCCAGAAGATCATGTTGCACCAATGATTCTCTTGTAGCTATGATATTTGATAATGTTTCTCAAAGGAAAAATCTTCATTTTGGTTCAATGCTGTTAGAAATGAACAAGTAATCAGCAATTTACTAACGACCTTTCGAGTACCAAAATAATTGCTGTAATTGTCTATTCACATGAGATAAAATTGACTCTGTATAATGTCTGATATTTCCTTCTTTGTGAACTTTAGAATTTTTTATTATTACATTTCTTTTCACTGAATGAAGAAGAAATTGGAAATTTTCAACATGGAATAAATGTTTTTAATTATTCTAATCTTTGGAGTATGGACAACAAAAAAAATGTAATATCTATTGAATGTTCCAAATTATCACCATATCTGGTAGTTGGGCTGTATGATATTTCATCTCTTTGATTTACACTTTGACTAATATCCTGATCTTTCTTGCTATTATCACACAATTTCAGCTATACTGCCCATCATCGGTCATTTCTAAGAATGGAATACATTAGTGTTTTGAAATTCAAGCATTTTTTTTATATATTATTTACATTCTTCACAATCAGACTAATATCCTCATCTTTGTTGTTATTGTCCCAACATTTTGCCTGTAACGCTGCCTAGTTTTATTCAGGTGTCTATAAATCTAGGTAGCCTTTAGGGAATTTTGAAACTGAATCCTTTATTCAATTTATGAGGGTAGATTGTTCTCATGCCACTGTCTGTATTTACAGATATCTGTATGCACTCTTTATAGTAATTTTCAGTTATTGTCTGTCTTGCTTTCACCGAGTTTGAGTCTGTACCTCTTAAGTATATCATTTATGGTAATAAAGAATAATATCAGATTAAAATAACATTAAACCAATATATATATATGTATATATATATATATATATATATTAAAATAATAAGAAAGAACTGTAAGATTTTTCATCTGGTGTTCTTAGAAATTATTTCTATTTAAAAAAAAAACAACAGTGCTCAATACAAACAATAGCGTATAATATAATTATTTTCTTTTTTAAAAATATGATTCCATCACGACAGAGAAATTTCTATGGTCCAGTTTTGAAACATAGAAATTTCTGTGTTGTGATGGAATCATATTTAAAAAAAAAAAAATAATTACAATATTATATATATATATATATATATATATATATAGAGAGAGAGAGTAATTCATCAAGTCTATAAGAATCGTCAAAAGAATGCAGAAAGCACTGGGCGGCTGTTTCATCCTATTTGTGACTCATCAGCAGTGTGTATCCACTACTGAGAATTGAACCTGGACCATTATGATACAATGCAAGTGACATACCATTGAACTAACAGGCCTCAGTAATGAAAAAGAAACTGACTAGACTCAGTATAGCACCACTACTTACTAAATTCTGGTGGTGATACTCATCCAAGTATGCATAAGCCAACAGACTGTACCCCCAAAAGCCACGTCTTATTTCCCCAAGCTGCACACTCCAGAGCATTAGAAGCTGGATCAAGCAAGTATATACAAGTGACAGAAATTTTGGGAGGATTTGAATAATCATTTATTGAATCAAGGAGAATCCTCAACAGAAAGTAGGATGATTATATATATATATATATATATATATATATATATATATATATATATATAACTATGAACCTAAAGAGCCAGGTAAACCTACCTAGCTTTCACCTACCTATATATATATATATATATATATATATATATATATATATATATATATATATATATATATATATATATATATATATATATATAATCATGTGAGGTACGATTTCTAACTCCATCCTGGGTATGATAATAAACTACATCTGGCAGCAAGGCCTCTGATCAAGGGGTTTTGAGGGGTTTGGAAGAACTTCTTAATTGCTGTTGTTCTCAGGTCCACCCTGTCTCGAAGTGGTAGCTCCTGTTAGGGTCCCAACAATGGTCATATAGTTAACCCCCAAACTGGGGTCAAAACTCTATGAAAGTATATATTAAGGAAGGTCAGATCTAATGACAGTTTCTCCTACGGGACGCAATCCTTTAGGAGGGTGGTGCAAATTTTTCTGACAAAATTTTTTTTTAAATATTTAGGTCAGTAGATGGAATTGAGTCAATGTCGGTCACTGGGCGTGTTTCTAAAAATAAATACGCTAAAAATCCACTGTCATCCCTACCGTGCGCCGACGGCTTAATGGTTAGAATCTCCGATTGACACAAATTCAGTCGGGTTTCGATCCTAGCTAGAAGTAAACAGATGTCTAGCCACACTGATGAGCTGCGAAACAGTCTGTCTGTGGATAACGTTATATATACATGCATGTATTATTACTTAAACATTATTTTTAATGGATACTAAACAGTATATTTATTTATTTCCATCTCCTGGACTGAATATTCCAGAAATCTTAGAAAAATCCTGTCGGTCAAACAGTGTACATTACATCTATTGGTCTGCACACTAGAGAAAATTAATAAAGAAATTGATGGGTTGTGACGATTTTTGTGGCCGAACGATCTTAAACATGATGGGTCAAATGATGGTTACTCCCACAAAGGGGGACGAAAGTTCTAAATTTGCCAAAATGCACATTTTCTTTATTAAGTTTTTTCTAGCATGCAGGAGTAATACACACTGTTTAAAATAAAGAGAAAAATTGGGGCTTTTACTTTAAAAACAGGAATCCATGATGAAACTTTAATAAAAGATGCAGATCCATATTTGATCTACATTTGATCTTTAACTAACATTTAAGCTATATATATATATATATATATATATATATATATATATATATATATATATTGCTTAAATGTTATTTTTAGTGGACACCCATTTGAGTAGAGGCACTGTTTATTTATTAAACAGTATATTTATTTATTTTTGTCTGTCAACCTGAATATTCAAGAAATCATATTAAAGAAAAATATGTTTTAACATATGTATATATATATATATATATATATATATATTATGAAATGGACATATATGTTATGAAATAAACGAAGATATTTTTATGTTTCTACATTCTTTTTTTATAGATACAAATATTTAAGTAAATGCTCTGTTTTATAATAAACAGTATTAACAACATTTACCAGCCTGAATGTCTGAGAAATTGTCATAGAAAATATGTGTCCTCCAACAGAAATCGAACCAGTATCCTATATGGAACCGTCATATAGCCTGACGTGCTTTTACCGATTTCTACACAGAGGAGCGTTTCGGTTAGCAAGGTCAATTTTACTGCTTTTAAACTACAATTTTCCATGATTTTCTCACGTACATTCATATCTGCTCAATGCGTATCCAAATGTAAGTAAATGATGTCACACATTATGAAATGGACAAAGTCCGACAATTATTTTAAGACATTTTATGTTTATCTATAAAAAGAATGTATAGACATAAAAATGTCTTAATATATATATATATATATATATATATATATATATATATATATATATATATATATATATTAACATATATAAAATATTACAATATATCAATATACCAATATATCAATATATATTAAAATTACAAAATATTTAAAATATATATAAATAGTATATTATACATATAATCTCAAATGTTTTGTTGCACATCATCAGTCATGTTTTAAGCAATGAATGATTAGCAGTTTCTGTCTTAGCTCTTCTCAGTGGCAACCCAGCCAATATTGATGAGATATTGACTTGTGTGCTAGTCATCAGTTGCAACTCTTCTTATAATGGAATGCTATCATAACCCACTGTCACAAAAGAACTCCTTAGTACTTTTTAGTTCAATCAGAGAATGAAATGTGTCGGCTAAGATAATTTTTCCTATTGTAGTTTATTGATATTGTCTTTTTACAGATATTTTTTAGTAATATCTGAAACACACATCAATATATATATATATATATATAAATATATATATATATATATATATATAATTTAATGAAAAACAGACCACTTTAAGGTACCATTACAATAATTTATTTCACCAAAATCCTTTTAAAGGATTTCGGATCATCAGTAACACTTCCAACAATGAAATGAGAGGAAAACTGTGAATACCTATCCATATATATATATATATATATATATATATATATATATATATATATATATATGGATAGGTATTCACAGTTTCTTGTATCTATTGGTTGGCATGAATGGGAAGCCATCTTGGATATCCCATGCATAAGATGGAAACTGCAGTATAGTACAGTTTTTCAAAGTTTTTTTTTCCGGTTGTACACTTTTAAAACTTATAATTTTTTGCAACATGTTTCTAGTAAGTCAAGTCAAATATATAATCCAAAATATAAATATATAAAAAGAAATCAATCGATTAAAAGTTTTGTCCGAACACAAAGAAAGAAGATTATTGAATTGTCGGGACTCACCAGTTCACGGAATGCTCCCAATGACTATATAACAAAAAAGTATTATTATTTTCAGCTCTTTGCGAAATCAAAGATAATCTGCTAATGATTAATTCTTATCTCCCAGGTACCATTTTCTTCAAGCATTTATCAGAGATATAAAAAGAATTATCTGGGTAGTGAAAGAATTCTTTCTGTTTCCAGTAACAATTGCATAGTACACAACAGGTTGGGCATTAACTTGCTTGACATATCCCCAAAATTTAAAAATTGGCATCTTGCCTGTAGTTAGTGCCACTCCACCAAAATCTTTAAAAAATAAGAACTTCCTCGTACGTAGAACCATCTCAATGAAATTATAAAAAAAATAGTAACTTGCCTGAAGTTAGTACCATCTACCAAATAATTTTTAAAAGTGTGAATTTGCATGTAGATAGCGCCATCTTCCCCAAATTTAAAAACTTGTTAACTTGCCTGTAGATAGCACCAACTCGCCAAAATTTTTTAAAATATGCCAAATTGCCTGTAGATAACACCATCTTGCGAAATTATTCAAATAAAATACCAATTTGTATACAGTTTAGCACAATGTCACTAAAATTTGAAGAATACATGAACTTACCTATAGCCAGCACCATTTTACCAAATTACTTGAAAAATTGTTAATTTGAGTGTAGTTAGCACCATCTGAGCGAAATTTTAGAAAATAAGCGAACTTGTTCGTACTTAGCACCTTATTGTCAAATTATTTAAAAATTTGACAATTTTTGTGTAGTTAGTGATATATCATGAAAATTTTCCAACATATGCCCACTTGCTAGCACCATCTTGACAAAAACTAAAAAATATGCTAACTTGCCTATAGTTTGCAACATTTCATCCAAATTTTCCAAAATATGCCAACTTGCTTTTAGCTAGCACCATCTTAACAAAATTTTTAAAAAATATGTCAACTTGCCTATAGTTTTTAACATTACATCAAAATTTTCCAAAATATGCCAACTTGTCAATAGCTAGCATCATCTTACCAAAATTTAA